TCTTTCTTCTTCATTTTGGTTTTTATGGAGAAGAATTGAGGCTTTTTTAATAGGTGCAGGAGTTGTGGTAGTAAACTTGCTCCTCCTGACCGTCATACCCTTTGCATATTTTGTCTTGGAGAGTCTCATCGACCCGAATCTTGTCGCCACTGTGCTCGCTTTTCAAACCAGACCCGGAAAAACCAAGCTGCCTGCCTTAAAGTGGTCCTGTTAGAATTGGCTCTACATCCTTCCTCAGCGATGGACGCCGAGAAACCATCGACCTCAACGGCTCCGGCATCGAGGCCTGCCTCCGATATCAGCCAACCAACACCGAAGCCTCCGGCATCGAAGGCGCAATCCTTCGCTTCCACGCCAGTGAAAAAGATATCCAGGCCAAGTAAGGAGCAAAAGTCTGCAAAGAAGGGCTCTTCCAAACCCCTTAAGGCGACAAAGAAGGGGAAAGTAGCGGTGGCTGCACTGGGTGATGCTCCTAAAGTGCCTCCCGCTCCAACCGCAGTATCGATACCGGAGGCCCAAGTCCCTCCACCAATACCGACCATCCATATCTTGGACTCCCCTGTCCACCAAATGGAGCGTCCTTACTCCGACATCGAAATGGTAGAGCTCCTAAATCATCAAATGGATGCAGAGCCTTCTCCGTCTCCTTCCCCGTCGTCGACATCGACAGTATTGGAAGCTCCTGACATTGATCTAAGTCGGCACCGATCTGTTTCATGCGACACGCAGCGTCACCCTCTACGTCTGCACAGTCAGTCTGTCAATATCGACAACCGAGATTATACGGGCTCCTCTCATAGACATGCTGCCGCTTTGTCTCCGAGACGTCCACAGTCCAGAAGTCGATCCCTGTGAGTCTTCTTACCCCCGCCACCACCTCTGTCTTGGGATCAACAACAGATGAGGTATCTGTATGGGGCTTATCTTAGATCGAGATCGCCCCACAGGTCGAGACCTTCAGCATCTCTCTCTCGTCCTCCTGCATACGATCCTGCCCAGCATAACTTGGATCACAGTTTTCCTCCCAACCCTCAGGTTGTTCAAACCCCAGTCGTTTCCACCCCTGTCGTTCCACCAAGACCTTTAACCGGTCAACAGGACACTCCTGTCCAAATGCCACACCAGGAGTCCTCTGATTCAATGGAAGACAATTCCGATACCAAAGCA